CCCCCCCACAACCCTCACCAGCTAGAAACAATATTTAGTAACTGCTGCTCTATTGTCTGTCTCCCCACCTGTCTCACCCATGGTGCCCAGCTGTATTTTGAGTTTGATTTAGCAGGAATGTTTGTATTTCTTTACATATGCATAGTTGACAATCAGAAAGAAAGGACTGTATGGGGTCAGTACTGAAAGAGGTGGAAAGAAATTTCAGCTCATTCTGAAAAGTTAGTGGGAAAGATAGTACCTTAAATAGCTCAACTACCTCCACCTTCTTCATCAATATTATCATTATTATTGGTCACACAATCAGCCAGATGTTAGACCGGATCTAGCATTTTTGTCCACCTATCAAGTCCTTCCCAAGGACCTGGGAGGGGCAGATGTTGTTGTTTGATGGGGTCAAAGATATCGTCGCAGGATGGAAGCTGTTCCAAGTCAAGCTGCCTTTTGCAATGGACTGATGGTGATTTTGTCAAGGCTGATGGTCTTCAAGGGGTGCTCCAGATGATTGCACCTGAGGCAGCTATTACGATTGGTACTATCTTCGCTTGCTTTTGCTATAGTTGTTCTATTTGCAGGTCTTTATATTTTGTGATTTTCTCCAGTTCTTTCTCTTAATCCCTCTTCCTCTGGAAGGAATCCAGAGCAATGGATAAAAATGAGAACAGCGTATAATAAAAACAGTAGAAACAACATGAGCATAGCATCTTGCTTTATGGCAATTCTTGACTCTAATAAAACACTTGTCCATGGCACCATCATGTATTTACTAACATTTTGGTTCCAGAGCAAAACTTACTTTGTAAACACCTGGGTGAACAAACATGTTTCAAGTTACTACCTAACACTAATCATCTTTCCAACTCTTTCCTTCTACCTTTTTCTTTCAATCTCTCTATTCTCCCCCAAATTAGAGTGATGCCTTAAAACTGAAGAAACATCTATCCTTGGTGAATGAGCAGTTACAGAAGTCTGAGGTTGCCCAGAAACACCTGGAAATTTACAACAGGAAACTTCTATTGTTTGTTCAGGTGATATTTTCAGATTAGATCCGCCATCTTGGACTCAATGTCTAGGCCTGGATTTCTCAACCTTAGCAACTTTAAGACGTGCAGAATTCAACTCCCAGAATTCCCTAGCCAGCAAGGAATTCTGGGAGTTGAAGTCCACAAACCTTAAAGTTGCTAAGGTTGAGAAACCCTGGTCTAGACCATCACATTTATTTCAAGAAGAAGGGAAAGGCCTGAAGGTTGTTGGTAGAGAAAAATCTGTGCTGGATGTTATTGTTATTATTAGAGTATTTGTGACATCTTCCAAAAGAGACTTGTTCCTAAACCATCACAGATGGGAGCATTGAACAGACTATCATAGTTTCCTTCTTTCTCTAGTTAAAAGTCCACATGAATGGAACCATTTGCTTGTAAGTCATGTGGCTGAAGAAGAACGTGCATTGATCAGATTATTGCAAGAAAAAAAGGATGTAAAAGTTTGCATTGGGGGAATTTGAGTTTAAAAAGAAGACATGGGGATTTGGGTTGAAAAGCTTGGATTAGGGGAAATTGTACAGAAGAAATGACATCAGGACAACTAACATTACAACGGATTTAAATTCACAGCTATATGTTGGGGGAGTTGGGTGGAAGAACTTTCTACCTTAGGGAAGGATAGATGTGGATTAAAATTAAACAAACAATGGTTTGGGAACATTGTCCCTTTAATCTTGACAATAGCAACATACATGTCCTTATTTTTTGTGTGGGGAACTCCACTTTTTGCATTAAAATCTGCTACCCCAGTGCGGTTCTAAATCTACAACAGCCCTCACTATACTCGTACGCATCATTCTCATCCATCCTGCACCTGCTTGTGATGGC